GACGATCGCGGGGACAGGGTGTACGACGCCACCACGACAGCTCTTCGCTACACTGGCTTCACGGCTCGCGCGCGCGGACCGCGCGCGCGCGCTCCATGGGCCGACGCCCATGCGCCCATGACCTTCCCATCCCCGTCCCTGCCCATCGCCGACGTTTCAGCCCGCATAGTCGCACTTCGCTCGCACACTGCACGCCAGCGCATCGTGCCAAGACCTCCAAGCGAAGCGCAGCGAGCTTCAAGTCTTGTATATATATATGTATATATATATGTGTGAACGTATATGAAAAATGCAGATATATATATATATATATATATATACACGTACATAGATGTATGCGAATGTAGACAAAATGGGGAGTACTGACATAGAGTGAGAGGCAAGATACAATACACACAAACAGGCAGACTGGCAAACATGGGATATAAAAGAGAAAGAGAGAGAGAGACAGCAACCCCAACAACAACAACAAAAACCACAACAACAACAACAACAATCACAACAACAACAGTAACAAGAACAACAACAACAACAACAATCATTTTCAGACTGTTCGCCCTTATCTGCTCGAGTGTCCCTTAACGCCTATTTCCCAGACCCTCGATACCCGCTCTGTTCGTCTTCGATCGTACCCCTTTTTGGGGGTATACCTTTTTCTCTCTGCAGGACGGGCCCCGGCAAGCGGCGGGGCGGCCGCGGACCGTCGGCCTGGCCAGCGGCAGCGCTGATCGTCGGATGCCCGACCCCAAGAGGGACGAACAGGGGACCGACCACGATGACCACGACGACGACGACGACGACGACGACGACGACGACGACGACGACGACGACGATGTCGACGACGACGACGACGGCGGCGACGACGACGACGACGACGAGCGAAAGCAAGAGCGACAGAGAGAACGACAGCAGGGCCACGAAGGGCACGAAGTAGGCCACGAAGGGCGACAGCGGGGACACGAAGGGAATGCGTATGGGGCCACGAAGAGCGCGAACGAGCGGGGGCCACAAAAGGCAACGACGGGGCCACTGAGGGTAGCAACTGGGCCACGTAGGACAGCGAGGGGGCCACAAAGGGCGACAGCGGGGCCACGAAGGGCATGCACATGGGGCCACGACGGGCGCGAACGAGCGGGGGCCACGAAGGGAATACGCATATTGGGCCAGGACCAACAACACAGTTTTTGAGGAGGAAGACTTTCTCTGATAAAAACAAGGTGCGAGCGCCGGGAGGGGCATTTCGATCAACAAAAAAATGTGCACCGGAGGGGGGATCAACAATAATTATTCTTCAGTAGTGATAATTCATCATCAACAACAACAACAACAATCATTTTCAGACTGTTCGCTCTTATCTGCTCGAGTGTCCGTTAACGCGTATTTCCCAAACCCTCGATACCCGCCCTCGCCTTCGATCGTACCATTTTTGGGAAGTATACCTTTCTTCCCTGCAGGCCAAGCCCCGGCAAGCGGCGGGGCGGCCGCGGACCGTCGGCCTGGCCAGGGGCAGCGCTGATCGGCGGCAACCCGACCCCAAGAGGGACGGACCAGGGGACCGACCACGACGACGACGACGTCAACGACGACGACGACGACGACGACGACGACGACGACAACGACGACGACGACGATGTCGACGACGTCGACGACGGCGGCGACGACGACGACGACGAGCGAAAGCAAGAGCGACAGAGAGAACGACAGCAGGGCCACGAAGGGCACGAAGTAGGCCACGAAGGGCGACAGCGGGGACACAAAGGGAATGCGTATGGGACCACGAAGAGCGCGAACGAGCGGGGGCCACGAAGGGCAGATAATGCGGGGCCACAGAAGGCAACGACGGGGCCACTGAGGGTAGCATCTGGGCCACGTGGGACAGCGAGGGGGCCAACAAAGGCGACAGCGGGGCCACGAAGGGGATGCCCATGGGGCCACGACGGGCGCGAACGAGCGGGGGCCACGAAGGGCATACATATATGGGGCCACGAAGGGCAGCGAGGGGGCCACGAACGGCGGCGAAGAGGCCACGAAGGGCTGCAAAGGGGCCACGAAGGGCTGCAACAGGGCCACGAACGGCTGCAACGGGGCCACGAAGGGCTGCAACGGGGCCCCGAAGGGCAGCGAGGGGGCCACGAAGGGCAGCGAAGAGGCCACGAAGGGCTGCAACGGGGACACGAAGGGCAGCGAGGGGGCCACGAAGGGCTGCAACGGGGCCACGAAGGTCAGCGAGTGGGCCACGACGGGCAGCGAGGGGGCCACGAAGGGCAGCGAGGGGGCCACGAAGGGCTGCAACGTGGCCACGAAGGGCAGCGAGGGGGCCACGAACGGCTGCAACGGGGCCCCGAAGGGCAGCGAGGGGGCCACGAAGGGCTGCAACCGGGCCACGAAGGGCAGCGAGGGGGCCACGAAGGGCTGCAACGGGTCCACGAAGGGCAGCGAGGGGGCCACGAAGGGCTGCAACGGGGCCACGAAGGGCAGCGAGATCCCGTAATCTGTGAGGGAATCCTAAGCGTGAGCGCGACTCCTGGGTGCCTGAGGTGTCGGGATCGCGGCGCTTGAGTAAACTCCGGGAAATTCCAACGCAAGGGCGCTATTCTTGAGTAAATTGCAAGCAAGTCTCCAGCGAGAGCGCGACTCCAGAGCGCCGAGAGAGCGATTCCTGCATAAACTGCAAGGAAGTCCCAAGCGAAAGCGCGATTCCTGAGTAAAATACGACGAAGTCTCGGGCGGAGGTGGTGGCCCTAGCTAAATTGTAAGGAAGTCTCAGGCGGGAACCGTTGTTGTTGTCATCCGGGGGCCGGGGGCTACCAATACAGTTCGAGGAGGACGACTTTTCCGGATCAAAAACAGGTTGCGAGCGCCGAGAGGGGCGTTTCAATTGAAAAATACAGTGTGCACCGGAGGGGGATCAACAACAATTATTCTTCAGTAGTGAGAGTGCAACAGCAACAACAACAACAATGAAAAACAACAATCATTTTTATAAACGGTTCGCTCTTACTGACACGCGTGTCCTGCATTCCGTATGCTCCAACCCTCGATACCCGCCCACTTCGTCTTCGATTGCACCCCCTTTCGGGGGGAATCTCTTCCTTGTCGGCCACTGACTGAAGTGCGAAGAAGTCTCGAGCGAGAGCGCCGTTCCTGAGTTCGGGGGCCTGTCTGGCCAAGGGCACTCGGAATACCTATGGAGAAATATCGAACAGGAGCCCTTGTCGCCGCGTTGTCGCCGTGTCCGGGCCTCCACCAACTTGCCTGAATTACGGGAGAATCTCGAGCGAAAGCGCAGTTCCTGAGTTCGGGGGCCCTCTTGGCCAGGGGCTCTCGGAGTAAATCGTGAGGAAGAGTCGAGCAGGAACCCTTGTCGTCGTGGCTGGGCCTCCGCCAACTTAATTGAATTGCGACGAAGTCTCGAGCGAGAGCACCGTTCCTGAGTTCGGGGGCCTCTCTGGCCAGGGTGTCTCGGAGTAAGTTGAGCAAGTATCGAGCGGAAGCCGTTGTTGTCGTAGCTGGGCCTCCAAGGGCCCAAATTTAGGGTCAAGCCAACGCTCGAGCGGGAGCCTCGTTTTCTGCGAAAATGTGCCGGCGTCGAGGCGAGCGGGCGCGGAACCGCTTACGGAGATCAACAACAATTATTATTTCGGAGTGGCTAGTCAACAACAACAACAACAACAACAACAACAATCATTTTACCCGAACGCGTGGTGTTCTCCCCAGTGCCAGGGTTTTCATACGACACCAGGCAATACCCCCACTTCGTGGGGGGGCATTACAAGCTCTACCAAATATCCAAACGACTCTTCGCGACCACCCAAACCCAGCTTCCCGCCCTATGACGTTGGGACACTTCACTTCGTGGCGTGCGGACGACCGTGGCTACTACACTGGCGTGGGGTACACACCCACAGAACCCAATGGTTTTTGGAGATTTCGGCGTGCGCGCGCGAAGAAAAAACGAATGTGTCCCGCATGGTATTATTTGACAGGGATGATGGCCCTGGCAGGTGCGCAACCGTTGTCGCAGAAGTTCGAAAAAGTTGCTCGCAAAAGCCCGTTTGACAGAAATGTTTAAAAAGTGTTGGGTTTTCCTACGAATCCGCAAGAGCGCGCGGGATGAGATTTTGACATTTTTTTGTTGAAAAACCATTGGTTTTTTGATGTTTTTATGTTAAAATCGCTCCGAACACTAAGCTTTTGGAAGGATTTCGTCTTGCGCGCGCGAATGTCCACTTTACCTTATTTTTTGCAAGGGATTCTTGAAATTTAAATATATTCGAACAAGAAATTTCATTTTATAGTGTTTTTTGCAAGGGAAAGCGGGGGGGAACAAAACAACCGGATCTGGATGACATCGAATTACCTGAGGCTTCCTCACGAAAATGATGAAAACGTGGCTGCGGCCTAGGCGCGGCGGGGGGGGCGTGCACCAGGGGGCCCAACAATAATTATTCTTTAGAATTAATAATGTTCAACAACAACCACAACAACAACAACATCAACAACAACAACAACAACAACAACAAAACAACAAAACAACAGCAACAACAACAACCACACAACAACAACAACAACAACAACAACAACAACAACAACAACAACAACAACAACAACAGCAGCAGCAGCAGCAACGACAACAGCAGCAGCAACAACAACAACCAACAACAACCAGCAACAACAACCAACAACAACAACAACAACAACAACCAACAACAACCAACAACAACCAACAACAACAACGCCAACAACGACAACAGCAACAGCAACAACAATAACAACAACATCAACAGCAACAACAACAACAACAACCACAACGACAACAACAACCACCAACAAAACAACGAGAGGCCAAAGAGAGAGAGAGAGAGAGTGAGAGAGAGCAGCACGGGGGAGGGAGGAAGCATGGAGAATGGATGAGGGAGGAGGAAGGGAGGAAGAAGGAAGAGTGGAGGAGTGAAGAGCGAGAGGGGAGGAGGGACGATGCCAAAGAAACGAGAGCTGGCCTGCGCGGCCGCTGGTTTCCTGCGGACCTTCTTTGGCGCCGCCTTTGGCCAAAAGAAAGCATGAGATCCAGAGAACGATCGGAGACGACGGTGGAGTATGGGAGAGGGAAGAGTGCAAATGGAGGACAATAGAGAGCTAGGCCCGCGCTAACCACATCCGATATCCTGCCCCTCCCGCCCACCCGTGATTGTTGCGCCTCATCCTTTCTGTGCGCCGAGCTGGGTGTAGAATCGACCAGGGATCCGCAGATGGCACCTGGGGCCAATGATCCGAAGGAGGACACGCACAAGCGAACATAGGAAGAAGAGGGAAGGTGAGGTTGGCGGAGGGGGGGGTAGCAGGCGAGGGGAAGGCGGAAAAGGAGCGTGTGAGGGTGGGTGAGGGGGGTGAGGGGAAGGGGAAACGGGAAGGGGACGGGAGGGGTAGGGGAAGGGGGAGGGGAGGGCAGGGGGGGGGGGGAGGGAGGGGAGGGGGCGGAAGGGGGAGGGGAGGGAGAGGGGGGGGGGGGGGGCAAGCTAGGTGTGCTCGCGTCATATCTGACGTCCTATCCCTCCCTCCCATCCCTTACCATGGCGTAGGTATCCTCTCTATTCGCACAGTCGGATGTCGTAGCAGGGCATAGCATTACATGGCATAGCATGGTGTTGAAGATCAACGCGTAGCCTGACGCCCCACAGAGGGGGGGGGGGCTTTCTGCGGCCCCAAAAAAGAACCAAACGGCACCGAATGTGTAATTACTTCCGATAGTTGCTTCGGGGGGCCATTGTCTAGTTTTGGGGTCCTATTTGGAAGGACCGAAAACCGTGCCGTGGCATGGCGCTGGGCAACGGGAGCACGGTTCGAAACGAGTGGAAACGCGGAAATAAGGCCAACGCTGCAACGGGAGCACAATTCGGAATGAGCGGAAGCCCGGAAATGAAGCCAGCGCTGCAGCAGGAGCAAGATTCAGAACGAGCGGAAGCCCGAAAATGAGGCCAGCGCCTCAGCGAGAGCAGGTTTTTATTATTATTATTATTATTATTATTATTAGTAGTAGTAGTAGTATTATTATTAGTATTATTATTATTATATATATACATAACTCGCCGACATCCTGTGGAAAAAACATGCGCGAGGGGGGGCCGAACACTCCGAGGCAGATTCCGCCACAGACTCAGGGGAGAGAAGAAAGTAGTATTCATGTTGAGTAATTATGGGGGGGAGGGGTAGGGAGGGGGGAGGGGAAGGGGAGAGGGAAACGGGAGTGGGAGGGGAATGGGGGTGAGGAGGGAAAGGAGGGCCAGACCAGACCCGGCCCGCACCACTGATGCTGTCACACACCACGTCCCGAGTCCCCGCTTCATGAGCCAGTGCACGTGTTTGCTTCCCCATACAGAATGACTGGACAGCACAACAGTACTAAGAATACGATGGACATGACAAGGAGTCGCCCTCCACGCAGGTAGCTAGTCGAAGCTTTAGGAACCATGTGCTCGCGCCAGAGCGACAGCGCAACTCTGGAGAGGAGCCGCCCTTCATCCATGCAACTGCTAAAACTCCCAAACTGCAAGCTCAAGAAACACAAAAAGGCCTCAGACGTAAACCAGATGTTGAAAAGGGGCCACCCTCCGCATGTGTAGGTGATCGAAGGCAATAGACGGCGAGGACCATACTTGAAAATGAGCCGCTATCCACCCGTACAGTTGTACAAAGCTGCTCCACGGGCATCAACGCAGAAGGCATCTCAAGGCAGAGCCACCGAATGAAGAGGAGCCGCCACACCCCATCCATCAGTGTAGCTGCTTAACCTATTCAGACAAGTTTGCGTGGTGCTCAGGTGGGAGATCCAAGCGCGTCAGGATCATAGAACGTAAAGGGAACAGCCTGGCCTGCCACACCGACACGTCTGATGGCGCGACGAAGGGTTAAAGGAACAAACAACAAACGACAAAAACAGCTGGCGAGAACTGGGCTAGAACCGCGGAGCGGCGGGAGACGTGGCGGACAGTGATCGGGGGAAGGACTACGGTAGGTTCGCGCGTCGTCGGCGCGCGCACCGCAAAGGCTTCTGACACCGCATCGATCGTTCAACCCTGAGTCGATCGCGGCACCGATCGTTCAAGGTTGAACTCCGTCGGGTACAGTGGCGTTCCTGCCTCCCTCGGCGCTTCAGCGTCACAGACATCAACATAGAACGCCCTCGCCGGCGTCCCCGACGCGCCAACGCCACATGAACCTGCTGTACTGACGTGCTCGACCATGGGACCTTTGCTGCCCTTCGGCCTTCGGCGGCTTTGGGCGGTCTCCGGAAGTCCTCGACGGCGTCCACGGGTCTCCAGCGGTTTTCGGCGACCTCTGGCGTCCTCGGCGGGCTCCAGCGGTCGTCGGCGGCCTCCAGCGGTCACGGGCGGCCTCTGGCGGTCTCCAGGGACCTGAAGACCTGACGAAAGGTGCCTGGCGAGTCGAGGACCTGAAGAAATATTCATGCCGATTCGGGCCAGGTCTCCAGGGAAGAGCGTGCCTGCCAAATCGGGAACCTGCAGAGACGGACGCGGCAATCCGGCGGGCGCCGTGGGAGAAACAGGAGGCCGAGTGCGGGGCTGCGGCTGGAGCCGAGGCGAGGGCACGAGTCCAGAGGCCCGAAGGCGCGTGTGGGAGGCGTCGCTCGGACAGAAGTCTGCGCAAGGATGGCTCGAAATAGCCCACCAGGGCTCCGGAGAGGCCCAAGGGGGCCCCGAGATTGCTCTGGGGTGGTCACCGAGCCTTCCAAGCAACCCGCCAAGAGGCCAAGACGACTGGAGAGTCAAAGGTGACGCGCTTCTGTGGTCTTCGCATCGTCGCCTTTTCGGCTCCCAACTGGTCTCTGAGAACGAATAGCCCAGACAGCCCAGGAGGGCCCAAAGAGGCCAAAGGGCCCCAAATACTTCGAAAAGCACTCCAAGAACCCCAACAACCTTCAAAAAGCCATGCCTCGGTCCCGGCAAAAATCGAAACTGATTGAGTGCGTCCCTTTTTTTGGTCGCTGGCTCCATGAGAGCCTCTCGATGGCTTCAAGATGCCTCCAACGAGCTCCAACGGGGAGCAAAGTTGACGATTTAGTGGGCCGAGTTGGTTCGTGGTTTCCCTGGTCTTCCTCACATTTCCCGTCATACAACTCTGCCAGGAATCACGTCTGGACGGACTGGTGAGATACGCGAAGCGTCAAACATTTGGGACAACGTTGGTTTTACACGAACGGTGGGAACGAAGAAGTGCCCGAGCTTGAAAGGTATCACGACATCCAAATGTGAAACGGTAATTACAGCAGGCGCACCGATCAAATCGAAATTCCAAGGAAATTAAGGAACAAGGAGTTTGAAGAACGTCATAGTTAAGTCATTGGGAAGCCCTTCTCTTTAAGCCTGTCCCTGCCGGGGGGGGGCCCGGGAGGGGGTCCCCGCGGGGGGTCCCCAGGTGGGATCCCAGGGGGGAGGAAGGGGGTAAGGGTCTCAAACAAGTGCCCTGGAACATGCGGCTTCTGATTGACTTGCCCACAACATGCAAGTTCACCTGAAAATCCAACCAGCCCTTTGGGCAAAGGTCGTTTAGCGAATTCTGACTTTCCTCTTCCAGAAACTTCTTCCTTTCCGGGACGTTGACCTCCCCCCGCCCTCCCTGGTTTTTGGGTTGGGCGCACGATCGGTCATAGCGCCCATGGCCCAAGATGGCTCCAAGAGGGCCTCCGATCCTCGAAGATGGCCTCCAAGATGGGTAATGATGGCCGACGATGGTGCAAGATAGCTTCCGACATACCTTCCAGAGGCCCGACGAGGGCCACAAGACGGGTTCAAGTGTTCTCGGACCCCCTCCGGACACCTCCAGAGGCCAAAACCGTTCAAACACCTAGGGAAAATAATTGATTGTTACCCTCTCGCTTCCGATGCGCTTGTACGGCCTCAACATGACCGCAAGATGGTCCAAGAGAGGCCCAAGGAGGGCCCAAGAGGCCCCCAAGACGGCCCCTAGAGCGCCCAAGAGCGGCCCAAGGGCGCCCTAAGAGGGCCCCAAGAGGCGATTATGACGGCTCTGGAGGGGGGGGGAATCTAAAGCCCCTCCCCCCCTTCTGATCGATGGCCTCCCAGAGGGCCCCAAAAGGCCCTGCAGGGCTCCAAGAAGGCTCCAACACAAGGGCCCTAAGAGGGCCCCAAGACACCCCACAAGAGCCCCGAGAGGGCCCCAAGATCCCCAAAAAGAGTCCCAAGAAAACTCCCAAAGGCGATTTTTATGGCTTTGTCCTCGTCCTCGGTGTCCTCATCCTCCTCCTCCTCCTCCTCCTCCTCCTCCTCCTCCTCCTCCTCCTCGTCCTCGTCCTCGTCCTCGCCCTCATCGTTTTCCTGAAAATGCTCCTCCTCTTCCTCGTCGTCGTGGTCGTCGTGTCTTCTTCTTCTTATTATTATTCCACCGCTCTTCCTTCTGAATAACTCCTCCCTGTCGCAAACCGAGTCCGGTTGAAAGGGCGGGCCCCAAGTTTCGTCTGAGACATCCTCACCACTTAGAATCCTAAGAAATGAAATTTACAAGAGCTTCCCGGATGGAGGGCGGCCCGCTTTCAACGTGTGGCTCTCGCCTAAGCGCCGCGCACATTCGTCTTAAACAGTTGCAAGGGCTTCACAGATGCAGGGCGGGCCCGCTTTCAAAACGCCGTTCTCGCCTTAGCGCCGCGCACACTCGTCTTAAAACTTTGCAAGAGCTTCACAAATGCAGGGCGGGCAGCTTTAAAAATGTGGCTCTCGCCTCAGCGCCACGAACACTCGTCTAAAAGTTTGCAAAAGCTTCACGCGTGGAGGGCGGCCGGCTTTCAAAATGTGGCTCTCGCCTCAGCGCCGCGAACACTCGTCTTAAACAGTTGCAAGAGCTTCACGGATGGAGGGCGGCCCGCTTTCAAAATACACATCTCGCCTTAGCGCCGCGTAAACTCGTTTTGAAATATTGCACGGGCTTCACGGATGGAGAGCGGCTCATTTCCAAAATGTGGTTTTCGCGCTTGCGCCGCGCACATTCGGAGTAAGAGATTGCAGCAGTTTCACAGATTATCATCGTCAACGTCCCAGAAATGCTTTGCGGCACGATTTCGGAATGCCAAGGCCAGTATCGTAGATTCGCGGGGTTGAAGTCACAGGGATGTTCTGACACGGCTCAGGATCGTCAAGACGCAACAGTAACTTTGATTCACGGCGTTGAAGTCCCAGGAACGGTGTTCTGGCACAGTTCTGGACGAGGAAGAGGAGGAGGAGGAGGAGGAGGAGGAGGAGGAGGAGGAGGAGGAGGAGGAGGAGAGGAGGAGACGGACGAGGAGGAGGAGGGGGAGGAGGAGGACGAGCAGGAGGAAGAGGAGGAGGGGGAGCAGGGGGTGGCCCTGCGTCGCAGGGCGGCCTTCTGCGGCGCTCCCGGCGCGGCCGGCTCGCTGGGCTCCGCCGCGGCGGCCGCGGCCTTGCCCGTCTCGACCTGGGCGGCACGGGTCTCTCGGCTGCCTCGGGCCGGGCGAAAGGGGGGGATAGCAAAGGGGGGTTTGAGAATCAGCCCACGTAGCTGATTTTCCTGGCGCCTCCCGGCGCCGGAGACGGCTATGTATCGAGGAGTGGGCCCCTCGGTGGGGCCGAAACCGGCTGCATGCAGCAGATTTCGTAGCCCCCCCTTTCCCAATCCCCCCCTTTCGTCCGGCTCGGCTGCCGCGCCCACTGGCGCCTGGCCGCCCCCCCTGGCGACGAACCTGGAGCGAGAGCGCACCGAAGCGAACGTGCTGCTTTCCTGCTCGGGACCGCAGCGTGCCTGGCGGCACCGCCCCAGAGCCGCACCCGTGGCGGGGGGGGGAGAGCGGGACGGTGGTGCGCACACCCGACCCCTGCCGCGCGCTCGCCCGCGCCGCGTGCGCACCACGAGGCCAAACCCGAGGCAAGTCGCCTGCGGACGTGCCCCCCTCGCGATATACCCTGCGGGAGCGCCGCGCCAGGAGCGCCAGGCGGGCCCGAGCACCGGCCACGGCGAGCCCCGGCCGCGAACGAGGCGCTCCCCCGCCCGAGCCCGAGGGGCGCGGCCCGAGCCCGAGGAGCCCCAGCCGAGCCCCAGAGTGGCCCTCGCGCCCGCGTCCTGGCCGCAGGCCCTCCCTCGGAGGGGGCGGGGGAGGGGCGGCCGCGCACCGTCGGCGCGGGGCGCCTCGAGGCCGAGGAGCAGCCCGCAGCACGCCCCCGGGGTGGCGCAGGATCGCCCCGGATCTTCTGCGACGTCTGTTCTATGCTTTTTTTTAGTCTGACTCTTATCTCATACTTTAGTCGGACTCTTATTCATGAATACGTGTATTAATATATATATATATATATATATATATATAATATATTCCTCTTCCAATAATTTTATAAGCCCGGGCGGGGGGAAACCCATCCCCCCCCCAAAACCGGACTCCCAGGACCTGGGGCTTTGGGGCCCTCTGGACGGGCCTTGAAGCGGCCACCGGGCCTCGCAAGGCGTTTTGCCAAGCCTTCCCAGCACACTTAGGGCGATCAGGGGGGTCATCGGAGACGTCCCAGAGACCCCCAAGACAGCACAAGAGCGCTCCAAGAGTGACCGACGTGACCTCAAGATGGCCCAAGAAGCCTCCAGGACGGCCCCAAAGAGGCCTCCAAGAGCACTCCCATGAAGGCCCCCCGAGGCAAAAATCATTGATTTTCTGATGGTTTTTGGTGAATTTGGGGGTTCTCCTCTTTTCGGCTTCCCGACGCTCCAAGATGGCGGTCTTCTGGGCGTCCGAAGCCGCCTGGGAGGCTCCCAAGTCGCCCCACAACCATCCGAAAGGGCTTCCAGGCAGTCCAAGAGAGCCCCCAAACGGCACAACACGGGTCCAAGATGGCCCTCAGAGAGCCCCATGGCGGCCCAAGATGGCCCAAAGACACCCTCCGAAGAATTCCAAATCGTGATTCGGTCGTTCAGGGAGACGGCAGTTCGAGGCAGGGTGGCCCGAGGAAGCCCCCGGAGGAGGCCCCCAGAATACGCCCAGGAGGCCTCCAAAAGGCCGTAAGAAAGCCCGAAACAACTTTTGTGAGGCCCCTAGAGGCTCTCCAAGGAGGAGCTTCCGCAAAACAGAGCTGAGGAGGCTGTGGAAGCATGGAGGAAGGATAACGAATAACATCATTGTAGCGGCGATGCCAGAAAAGGCAACCAGGAGTTATCGCTAAATTGTCGGCTTGACCTTCCTGCCATTCCGCCTGCAAACCAAAGTTCAAGGACCAAGGTGCATGGCGCGAAGCGCCACTGCAGTCTTGTATATCTATATATATAGAGAGATATAGATATATCGGAGGTTGGGGGGCGAGTCCGACGTGAAACGGAGACCCCCCTACCGGGGAATCGATTTCGGCTTTGGGTTCGTGCCGTGCGTGCGTGCGTGCGGGCGAGGCGAAGCTGCGTGGGCGGGCGAGAGGAAATCCTCCTGTGGCTGGGCCGCGGCCGGACCAAATGTAACTCCTCCGGCGGCCGGTGCCCCGCGGTGTCCCGCCAGTGTCCCGCCGGTGTCCCGCCGGTGTCCCGAAATCCTCCTGTGGCTGGGCCGCGGCCAGACCAAATCTTTCTCATCCGGCGGCCGGTGCCCCGCGGTGTCCCGCCAGTGTCCCGCGGGTGTCCCGAAATCCTCCTGTGGCTGGGCCGCGGCTGGACCAAATGTTTCTCCTCCGGCGGCCGGTGCCGTGCGGTGTCCCGCTGGTGTCCCGCTGGTGTCCCGAAATCCTCCTGTGGCTGGGCCGCGGCCGGACCAAATGATGCTCCTCCCGTCAAACGGTGGCCCGCGGTGTCCCGCTGGTGTCCCGCCGGTGTCCCGCCGTGGGTGTGCATTTCAAAGCATCGCCGCTTGCGGCGAGCTATCCAATGCAAGCCCGCATGCAAACTGACATGTAGACTGAAAAGCCCATCGAAATGCAAATCGATTTGCACATCCAAATGCAAATCGTAAGGCGCCGTGGGTTGCGTATGTAAAAACTTGGCGCCTGCGGTGAGCTTTCCAATGCAAGTCGACATGCAAATCAAGATGCAGATCGAAAAGCTAATCGACATGCACATCGATATGTCGACATGCACATCGAGATGCAGATCGAAAAGCAAATCGACATGCACATCGATATGCAAAAGGATATGCATCATCACAATCACACTGCTCACTAGACTGCGCACCACAGGCATCGTCAGAACAACAGTCACCACTGTTGCCCATTGCTGCCACCCCCCGCACCTCCTTATCACCCGCCGGGTGGTCGTATAGGTACGTATCTGAGGGGGCCCAGGGTCGCACCTGGAGATGGCAATCAGATCTGCCAGAGCGCCGTCGGGCGTCAAGCCGCCCCTCCTGGCGCAAAAAACAAAAAAAACAAACAAACAAACAAACAAACAAACAAACAAACAAACAAACAAACTAAAAACTACCCACCCCCGCAGCCTTGACAGCCAGCTGCCTTGCTCGCGCGCTGCCCGGCACGCGCGCGCGTGCATACCGCAGCTCCTCCTGGCCCAGAGGAGGACCACGAGTCCGAGGCGCGTCGCCGTCAAGAGAGCGGCCGAGATCGGGAGTGCACCGAGTCCTGGGCGGCCGAGGATCGCCCCAAGACTGCCCCAAGACTCCGAGGACACCGACATGCGGCCCCCTCGGACACCCCTCCACGTCTCCAGGTGGCCAGGACCCCCGAACGGCCCCGAAGATGCCCTGGCGGGCGCAGAAGAGGCCCACAAGAGGCGCCGTGAAGACCCATTCCGTCCCCTTCACGGCTCCCATCCCCCCCCCTCTCACCCAGGACCAGGACGTCCAGCGTTCCCGCTGTGTGGCGCGCTGGTCCTCAAGCCGCCACAGATCACGCGAGACTCCTATTCCGCCCCGCAGCGTACAGGGCACATCGTGATGAAGGCTGGCCAGTACATATGTTATTACTTACGCGGGTCGCACTCGTCGACAAATGTCACACTTGTCACGCTAGCCCTTGCGACAAACGGCATCTCGGACGGGCTGGGATCGATTGAGGCGTCCGTTGGAGGGACTGGACCCCAAGCGCAACCTGTCGCTGGGACATGTACTTCTCGCCACCCTCTGACTCGACCGAGCATCGGGTACGTTGGCTGTCTCGGGTCCCCTGCAGGCGTGGGTCCCGCACCTTTGATATGTATGCTTGTTCAGCGTGAGACCACTTCTAAGCCGGCCAATGCGTTCTAGTGGCCCACCCAACTTTGCATTGCAAGCAGAACAAGAAAACGGGGGGGGGGCAATGACCTGAACGTCGGGGCGTGGGCGGGTTGGCGCATGCTTGGAGTCCCACCCCATCACAGCATCTTTAAGCGTGCTTTCCGCCGCGGCAGCCGCTGCTGACGGGGGCGCGCAACAGGTGCAGCCTTGCCCCTTGCGCTTTTCCCTTAGCAACCTTGCCCCTTGCGCTTTCCCCTTATTTAATCGCTTCGCTCATTCCGCCGGCCCGTCTTGTGCCATCGTTGGCGTATGCGTGCGCGCTCGTGGGCCGTGCGGCAGCCTTGCCGGGCTGCATATCTGGAGGCAAGCCAATCCAGCTTCCAATTTCACCCCCAGCTCTCCCCCCCGCCCCCAACCTGCCCCTCCACCTCCCCTTCCGCCCTTCCCCCGGCTGTTCGAAAAACTGCCCGGCGCGCGCCCGCGTCGACTCTGGCCAGGCCCCGTCCTGGGCCGCGAGGCTCCCGACGCGGCCTGGGCCACGGGGAGCCCGCGCACCGCAGAGGAGGCCCGAGGGAGGAGGCGGAGGGGGGAGGGGGAAAAACGCAAGGGGCAAGGCGGAGGGAGGAGGAGGCGGAGGGTGGAGGAGGAGGCGGAGGGGGGAGGAGGCGGAGGGGGGAGGGGCAAGCTAGGTGCGCTTTCGTCATATCTGACGTCCTAACCCTCCCTCCCATCCCTTCCCATGGCGTAGCTCCCCTCTCTATTCGCACAGTCGGATGTCGTAGCAGAGCATAACATTACATGGCATAACATGGTGTTGAATATCAACGCGTATCCTGACATAGCATGGCGTGGCGACGCCCGAAAGTGGGGGGGGCTTCTGCGATCCAAAAAATCAACGAATCGACACGGAATTGATCATCACTTCCGATGGTTGCTTCGGGGGGGGGGGAGGGGGGGGCATTCTCTACATGTTGGGGCCGATTTGGAAGGACCGAAAACCATGCCGTGCCATGGCGCTGGAAATAATGACGCCAGCGCTGCAGCGGGAGCACGATTCGGAACGAGCGGCAGCGCGGAAATGAGGCCAGCGCTGCAGCGGGAGCACGATTCGGAACGAGCGGTGGCCCGAAAATGAAGCCAGCACCTCCAACAAAAAAACCTATTCCCGAGAATCCTGTGTAAAAAAACTATACGCGGAGGGGGGCCGCCCATTTCCTGGACGTCGACAGGGGAGAGAGGAGAGTAGTATTCATATTGTTTACTTGTGGAAGGGGGAAAAGCGCGCGCGGAGGGAGGCAAGGAGGAGGGGTCGCAGTGACCGGGCGCCGAGAGGCGCGCGCCCGTTCCCCCCTCCACGGCGCAGGCGCGCCGGGGGGGGGGCGGGAGACCTGCCGAGTCTTGGTCAGCATGTCCAGGGTCTCCTTCTCCTTCCTGGCTCGCTCCTGGGCGGACACGCCCTCCCCCCCGCTCTCCAGCCCGCGCCCCCGTCGTCGCTCAGGGGGGGCCGGGGGAGGGCGCAGCGGGCGTTGGCGGCCCGCAAGAGCAAGACGGGCAGAAAAGGAGAAGGTTCCTCCCAAAGCTCAACCACAACGATGACCTCTTCTTTGTGCACTGCATACCGCTGCAGCAAGGCTGCGGCACTGCGTCAGTCGAGGAGAGCATGACGGCCGTCGAGCTGCCGAACGCATGAATACAGGCGCAGCCTCCAACGCCAAACCGCTGCACCAGGGAGTGGTGGTACAAAGGACAGATCGAGAAGAGCCGCGAATGGAAATGCCTGAGGCCTACTCGACACGTGATGTTCGAAACCCTACCATCCAGACATCGGGATGGGGGCAGGAACGGGCGGGGGGGGCATAGCAGGAGCTCGCAGGTGCGGAGGCCTCCAAAAACTCTCCTGGGCTGCTTCTCCCCCCGCTTGTCTCCCTCTCTCCGCCCGCTTTCTCCATCCATTTCTGATTCCGCCGCCGCCTCCTCTTCCTCCTCCTCCTCCTCCTCCTCCTCCTCCTCCTCCTCCTCCTCCTCCTCCTCATCATCATCATCATCATCATCATCATCATCATCATCATCATCATCATCATCATCCTCATCCTCATCTCATCCTCACCTCTCTCCTCCTCCTTCTCTCATCATCATCATCATCATCATCATCATCATCATCATCATCATCATCATCATCCTCATCCTCATCCTCCTCCTCCTCCTCCTCCTCCTTCTCTTCCTCCTCCTCCTCCTAATCATCATCATCATCATCATCATCATCATCATCAGCATCAGCATCATCATCATCATCATCAGCATCATCATCATCATCATCATCACCATCATCATCATCATCATCATCATCATCATCATCATCATCATCATCATCATCATCATCGTCATCGTCATCATCACCATCATCATCCCTCTTTCCTCCTCCTCCACCCGCTCACGCCCTGCCGAATCATTCGCCCTTCTGCAAATAATTTCTGCAGCTTCTCTCCCTGCCTGCCTCCCTCCACCTCCTCTCTCCATCCCTGTCTCCTTCCACATTCTCCCCCTCAACCTCGTGGTCCTTTTCTTCCTCCCTACATCCAGGACTGCTCCCCTGCACCAGCCCACAGAAGAAAGATCCTGCACAAGCTTCATGACCCTGCGACAGCACACGCAAAACACTGCACTCGATGAGGTACACCATCCATCGCAAAAGTACCCATTTGGGAGACCAGAATCCGCAAACACACGGACGCGCGCGCGCACGCACGAAAGCACACGCACATTTGTCTCGCTGGCTGCTCTGCCCCGGGTATCGAGGTGCCTTGGGGTCGTTCGACACGTGGCCCCAGCCATCCCCGCCGACTTTCGCAGCCTCTGCGCTGAGGGCAGCGCTGGTAATTGCAATGATAATGCTCACGGAATCAACCACACCGATGCGAGCCTCAACCTACACTTGCAGCATGCCTGGGCAGTCCCGAAAGTCTGCTTCGATGACCAGCATTCGTGAACATGTTTTCCTTGTGCTTGCGGTGGGCTTTGTAGGTGGTGGGCATAGCTCGAGTCAATGTTGCTTAACGCTGCTCGCGTCCTTGGCATTAGGACGATCGAAGACAAGGCAATTAGTGCGCAAGCTGCACCAGTCAAAGTCGGACATGAGCGAAGCCAAAGGCGGACCCTAACTAGCCCTCCGGGTCAAAGGTCCAGGTCTAGTCAAATCATATATCGACACTCATTGCTATAAGGGCTGACCGACACTTACCTCACCATGACTAGAAATCCAATGTACTCCACAAGCGGAAATGATATACTCACAGAAGTCCTTTAACTTTCTGAGCAGCCCGACAACTGGCCAGTTTGGCCATCGACTCCTTCGTATAACTCACCAGCCAGGTGATGGGAACATGGAGTGCTCTCACCCCAAACCGTGACACATCCCTGGTTACGCGACGCGGAGCTACGCAGCATGGAGAGAGACCCGTGCCACAGGTCAGGTCGCTGAGGGTCCCTACTGAGAGATGCGTGGCAGCCTTACTGTTGAACGAGCAGCCGAGACAGCACACGCCAACAACGCTCGAGGGCCACGGGGCCGCGAACCACGAGGGCCATCGGCCACAGCAACGCGGACCGACTGCAAAACCATGGGCCGCGGCCTCTCCGGCCACGATGCAGCAGCACCTGCCACGGGCCGCAGCACCGAGAACCACCGCCAGCCCAGACGCCCGAGGCCGCCGAGCGCTGATACGACGGGCCACCGAGGGCCACAGCACCTCCAGGGGATTGGGCGTCGCCCCCGCGCCCCCAAGCCACACCACGACCCGACGCCCAAGCGGAGCGGCCTCGTAGGCCTTCGGGCACGGCGGAGCTTCGCGGGGCGGGCCCCCCGCCATCCTGGCGGACGCACGCACCATCAGTGGCTCAACGAGCAGCGGCCCCGTACTGGGCCCTCGCTTGGGGTCCCAGGGAAAGGATAAAGCTGCACAGGAGCTTCGCCCAAACTTGGCCATGCGCCGCCGCTCCCAGGCGTAGCTGCAACTCTTCGCGCCCGCCCAGGTTAGCCAACAGCATCTTCTCCAACCCAGCCTGCACGATTCCCAGCGGTCTCCCCCCAGGCGTCGCACAGCCCAAGAAAGCGGGGAGAGGCACGACTAGCGAAGAGAGAGAGAGAGGGGGCAAGGACGGGGCGTGGCGGGGGCGGGGCAGGGAAAGGAGGAGAAGGACAAAGGGAAGCAGGCAAGACAGGGCGAGATGAAGGAGTCAGGACAGGACAGGAGGATGCATGACAAGAGCAAGAGGGGCAGGAAAGAGAGGGGGTGGTTAGGCTGGGCGAAGAGAGGCGGAAAATCCGAGGCAGAGGGAGAGCAAGAATAGATGGGATGAAAGGAGAGGGAGAAAGGAGATGAAGGGTGTGAGGGAGTTTGGGTATGGAGCTGGCAGGGGGGAAGCGGCGACGCCAACCTGCCCCCTACCCCCCGGGGGCCTCTGGAGGTCCACAAAAGTCTCCAAAGGACCCAAGGGGTCTCCAGAAG